GTGCATCAAGAGTTCCGGAAGGTAATTCGCGCGCAATGCATTCTGGGATAGTCTCACAAAAAAAGTGGGCACCAAGCGTGACAATATGGCGTGTGTCTCTGTATTCAATGCGTTCTTTGAAGCGTGTCTTTATCTATAATACAGTCTTTTTGTTCTTGTAAGTGATATCAACTGGAAAATAATCTTCGTGGGTATTATATTCAAAAGGTAAGTTACAAATTTTAACTTTGTTTTAGCTGTTTTTAAGCTTTTAATGGTAGTAGATTCAATCCTGCGCGCGAGTGACATTCGCGAATACAAGAACTGTCAAAAGTCAAAGATTCTCATCGTATTTTTATTACTTTGCAGCCGTTTAATGACATGGTCTTTGGGCACAGAAATTGTGCAGTATTTGGGTGCCATAACAGTGGGAAAAAGCTTGAGAAATGGGCTTCACAGCAATGCGAAGTTCACGATTGTTTACACGGCACTCCGCCATGTGACTGTCCGCTGCCGTTCAAGCTATTTCCGTTCCCTACTGAACGCAAAAACAATGAGGGTAGAAAGCGCTGGATCCATCTTCTAAAGAGAAAAGGCCCGAAAGGAGAAGTCTGGCAACCTAATAATTCGTCGAGAGTCTGCAATGAGCACTTTGTTGATGGGAAACCCACGAAAGAAAACCCTGATCCTGTACTCAAAATGGGCTACGAGACAAAGTCTACTCGTAACCGTAAACCGCCTACTGATAGATCATCATTACTAGAAGAAATGAAACGTTTAAGAACTCAAGATAATACTCAAGATAACACACAAGATAATATTCAAGATGATACTCAAGATAATGCACATGATAGTCAAGATGCTCCTGTGATTCAAGAACCAAGTAGTTCCTCGTTTATAACAGAAGAAGAACATTGTACTACTGCCGGTCGACCCGACCATATCACTCACGATCATGCATATTCGTTTGGCTGGTACAACCTAGAAGATCCTGACTTCTGTATGAAAGAAAAATGCTTGCAGGAAAGACTCAAGCAGTTCAATGAGATCAAAGATCTCAAAGAAAAACTCCAAGAACTTGAAAGTGAACTCAAAGCATGTAAGATAAAACTCAAGGCCAGACAGCGTAAGGGACTAGAACATTCTGATTTGAAAACAAATTCATCTGTTCGTCTACTAACCGGCCTACCATCAAAACGAGTATTCAATAAGTTGTTTGAAGTAGTGAAGGGAAACATTAAAAAAGTAAACTACTGGAGTGGCCCAAAAAAATCTACTAAAAAAGGAAGAAACTTCAAAAAAACACCAAATAAGTTTGGCCCTAAAAGAGCTTTGTCAGAAAAAGATGAGTTTCTTTTGACCTTAATGAAACTTCGACTTGGATCAACAAATGCTGACTTAGCACAGAGGTTTGGAATTTCAACTACAAATGTAACAAATGTTGTTACTACCTGGGTGAAAATCCTAGCAAGTGAACTTAAATGTTTGGTTTACAATCCCTCCATCGATGTTGTGAAAGCAACTTTGCCCGCAAAGTTTAAAAAGCCAGGCTACTCTAATGTACGCCACATCATTGATTGCACAGAAATATTTATTGAAACCCCAAGCGACCGAAACCTTAGAGCAGCTACGTGGTCAGACTACAAGCATCACAACACTGCTAAGCTGTTGGTATCAATAACACCACATGGTTTTTTCAATTTCTTATCCAAAGCATGGGGAGGGAGAACTTCAGATGTGCATCTGACAAGAGAATCATCATTTTATGATATCATTGAACCTGGCGATGAAGTGATGGCAGACCGTGGATTCACAATTGCTGAAGACCTCTTAATCAGAAGCTCAAGACTACACATCCCCCCTGGTAAACGTGGACAAGAGCAGTTCACTAAAGCTGAAGTTGCTAAAACAAAAGAAATTGCAAATCTTAGAATCTTTGTTGAGCAAGCAATAAGACGGTTGAAGACGTTTAGACTGATAAAGCATGAACTACCAATATCACTGCTTGGCAGTATAGACAACATTGTACTTATTTGTGCAGCCTTATGTAACTTGTATAGACCCTTGGGTAAAAAATGATTAACAAGAAATGTACAAATAGCTAAAAAGATTGACAGCATTTAACCCATGAAAGAATATAAACTTCATAAATTTAGAGGATACCAATATGTATTAGTCTAAGTTCTTTCTTAGGTTAAATGTTATTCAAAATCTCTGCTCTACTTTACTAGCAACTAGTATAGAGTGCAATCACTTAATCTTTCATACAAATGGTACCAAATAATACTAAATAGTGTTGATAATGGTACATAACAAGAAAATTAAGTAATAGTATGATTTAGTACCATTTAATGCTTCAGCTATTAAGTATGTGCACTCTGAATAAGAACTGTTATATTATTTGCACCACAAGGACCTCACAAGAGAAAAATTATTCTGGTAGAGTGATTACAATCATTAGATATAATTTGTAAATATTTTTCTTCATTTCACAGCTCATGTGTCGCTGAACACAAATAAATAATATATTATTTATTATTACTATATATATAACTGCAAACAATATCAAACTGTAACATTTTCAATCATACTGAAGTGTGGTCAATGCATTACTTGTATAAAATTTCATGATTTGATTCATCCATTCCAGTTTCCACAACAGACAATTTTACTGTTCTATTCAGAGACTATTTGAGTTCAATTTAGAACTGTCAGACCAGTTTTTCCAGATATGAAATTGTAAAAATTCTAAATTGTATATAAAATGTACAAATGTATTTTTAGTGTTTACACCATGTAAATAAAGTTTTGTATCAAGTTATAATTAACGAGCATTCATTCACTTAAATACTTATTATAAAACCAAATTAGGTTTTGCTTTATCTTTTCCCAGTAATCATTATTGAACTTGATTAGCGCCAGATGATAACCCTTTTGGGTGTAGACCAGGAAGTGACACCATGTTCTCTTTGTCACAGCCATTTGTCCCTGTATCTGTGCAAAATATGCATGCTTCTCTTTCAAGACAATTTTGCCATTAATCTTTACCAGGTAGGAAAGATTGTCTTCTGATGGTAAATCATTAACAATAGAATAAGGGCACTTCACTTCTAGCACCCCTAATCCACAACAGGAACATTCAACAAGCAGATCAGGGGATGCTCCAATGAATTGGTCAGATTCATCAATAAATAGTCCACACTCTCTGAATTTTGCATCTTTGTGCTCCCTCTGAAACAGTTTCACATACTTATCCTTAGCAACTTTCTCCATGTTTCTTCCATATTTTAGAGCAGGTAAATGTTCCGACGGTCCATTACTTTTACCCTGGATTGTGTCCACTAGTTCCTGTGCATCACCCCCCTTAGTTTTAAGGGTTTCAACTTTTGTGTACACTCTATAGAAATTAGAGGCAGTTAATCGGCCTTTTCTGTAATCGTGCCATGCCTCATTCTCAGACTGACCAATGGTGCCTTGTTCAATCAGATGTATATCATCAGCACTTAAGTCTTTCTTTGATGACTTAGGCATTACACATTCAGG